ATCAGCTGAAATCGTTCTGTTGCGAAGCATCGTCATTAGTCATGCGTTTATAGGCTCCTCGACGCCAAGCTGATCGAGGGCTTTTTGGATAGATTCTACCCGAACATTCTTAAAGGCTCATTTTATGTTGAGGAAAGCCACGTCTAAAATCCTCGCGAAAATCCATGCTTTTTGCTAATTTTCTTTGGTGAGTTACCATACTTTTTATTCTGACTTATTATTATTATATTTGCTTTAAAGCTTATGAAAATTCAAGCAAAGTTTGTCAAAAGACATGACAGTTAGAAATTAAAAAAATGTTAAACTAAAATGTTTATCAATAACTTTATAGAGATAGGGTTCGGGGCACACTTCTGCACTTCCCCTTTGACAAAATCACTTCGATTGTAAGCGACCAGAGTTCACCAACAAATTTTCTGATTTTATTTTTACATACATACATATTTTTAGAAAATCTTGCTTTCTCTAGCGTTTTATCTTTTCACTTTTATTGGTTGAAAAGCCCAATTTACAAAAGTACGCGTGGGTTTGAAAGTAGCAGAATGTGTACAAAAAATGGACCACTAGTGAATTTTTACAAATTTTTTTTTGTTAAGAGGAGAAAATAAATAAATAAAATGGTTTTTTAATAATAATAGAAATATGAGTACAGTTATGGCCATATAATTAGGGACACTATTTCTTTGTGACTTTTGATCATTATTGTTTTCTTTATTTTGAATTTATTTTTCAGAAAAATTTACATAGTTTATACTACAACGAAGTAGACCAGAAGGTTGTAGATCTTGTAGAAGGTTTTTGAACAATCGTCAACTTTCAAAAATGGTCATCAAAATTTCAAACTTTTTAGTCTGAAGAGGTTTTTTTTTAATTTTCTTCTGTAAAAAAAAAATTTTCGAACATATGTACTTTATATAGAAGAAAATGTCTAACACCGTCCGCAATTTAGGCACATTTCACTTTGATCGTCCTCGAAACAATTCGATTTTCCAGCGCTTCGGTTCCCTTAGAAATTCGCTCGCGGCAACACTGTTTGCCTGTTTCAAAGGTATTCAGTTGCGTTGCGCCTTTCAAGGTCATTGAGCACCATAGATGGGCACTTTGTATTGTCAGTAAAAATGCAGTAATCAGTAAATTTTTACTGATCATGAAATTTAATTTGCATTATCAGTAAAATTTTACTGATTACTGAAAAATAGCAGTAAACAGCAAAAATAAAAAGGAATGTGTGTACATTAGGGTGGTCCAAAATTGCATGAGAAAAAGCGAAGTCGGAATTTTTATGCTCTCATCCCCTAGGATTGTTCTTTTCCGAAAAAATATACCCATATTTTTTTTATCAAAAAACTTTTAGAGGTCGCTCAAAGCGCTCAAAGTTTTCTATACGTTTTATATGAAACAAAAAACAACTTTTCGTAGAAATGATATAGAATCCTTAACAATCAGTCTTTTTCGGCCGAAAAACTATGCTTCCCTGCAGGAGACTTTTTACATAATACCCAATTGTTTATTTAACTATTTTTTCATCGCAACTATATATATATCGCCCGCCAAAAACTCACAAAAACCCCGAATAATGCAATGGGGCGACCAATAAAAAAGCGTTTGGATTAAAAAATGGTTATATAAAAAATTTGATATTAATATTGGAAGTCTCCTGAAGAGAACCAAAGTTTTCCTATCGAAAAATAATGAGTTTCAAGGATTCCATACCATTTCTACGAGAAGTGCGACATTACTCTTTTTGGACCACCCTAATCTACATACATACATATGTATTACAAATCGTCACCACAAAGCTGAGGAGATTAGCGTTTGAAGTTTTGATGTGTTATTACTTTTTTGTTATTTTAGTATATAAAAAAAGGTTTTGATAGTTAGTATTGCTCATACTTACTTACTAAGTAGGTTTACAAACTCTGTTTCCTATATTATATGCCGTTTTTTGCATAAAAAAAAAATATTAAAAACACGTATCTATCACTTTTTTCATCTATAAAAACATGTTTTATTTAAACAATCATAAGCAGTAAATTTTTACTGATAATTAAATTTCATTTGCATTGTCTGTAAAGTGGTTATTAATTAATGAAAGTTCCTACTAGTAGTTAAAAATCAATGCCCAATCAGCATTCAAATAAATCGTTAAAAAAATATCAAAATCTCAGCGAATGAGAACAACCATTCTATGGTGCACATGAGGGTAAAAGCGTCTTGCATTTAAAAAAAAAAAAAACTATTTCAATTGCTGAATGTTTTTTAGGAAATTTTTCATTGTTTTGCAAGAGCGTATTGAAAACTTTCTTCACTTCTTTCTTCTGTTTGGGTCTAATAGATTTTTTAAAAATCGGAATTTTATACAAGGCATATAGTGCTAACTCATAACTTTACGACACTCACATATTGACAAAATTTGACCATTTGTCCAATATATTTAATTATATTTATTTGTTATTTAAAACAAAAATTAACAAACTTTCGTAAAAATTTCGAGCTTTTAAATCTTTGTTGAAGGTGTTGCTTATTCTTCCTATTAAAAAAAGAAAATCGTCGAGTATACCATTTATGGAAGAATATGACTGACATCCTCAACAAAAAAAAAAAAAA